ACGGACTGGTAAGATCTATCAAATGTCAAAGGTTAAAATATTCTCAATAGATAGGAATCGCTTATTGTAACCTTTATAAGGGTCTGTTGGGTCTTTGTTCTTCAGTGATTCGTCCCGTAATAACTGAGAGATATGTCATATCACTTTGAGCGTATTGTTAAATCTCGTTAAAACATCTAATGTAATTTTTTTACGTCCACGAAAAGTATATCATAATGGTTTTTATTTTATTTTCAAAGGATTATCAATATATACAACGTCCATTAAATATTTTGCATTAAAGTATTAGTCGAAGTCGTCCGCGAATTCGTCAGCACATAATTTAAAAAAGTAGTCTATAATATGCCCACGTGCATCAGTAACTTTCCTTCAAAGTCACATCAAAATCGGTCTAGCGGTTCCGAAGATCATCCGGAATAAATGCGACTATGCGGACTTGCGCAAATACGTCATGTGTACGAAATATGCCATTGTTTTTTATTTTACATTACATACAGACAATTTTAATAATATGTATATAACTGATATATAAACACGGCTACACACTCACGTATATTCGTCCGGTGGCGGCACCGACTAGTTTCGAGCCCATCGAGCCGAGCGACGGGCCGCGTCCGCGAAACCAGTACCACTCATCCTGATGAAGGCCCCCCCCCCCGATGGGCTCGAAACTAGTCGGTCCCGCCACCGGACGAATATACGTGAGTGTTTAGCCGTGTTTATATATCAGTTTAGTATAATGTCTCACGAAAGTTTGAATAATTTAATATGTATATAGATTGTAACTCATACCAGTTTCGACCAGTAAATAAACAAAATCATAATGTACGCAGTACATATAACATTTTCATTTAACATTGTTATTTATAACAATCAAGCTACAACATGATGTTAATAAAATAAAGAGAAATGTACAAATATTTGTATTATAAAGGTCAACTTGCCGAAAATAGAGTTAATGCGATTGCCGAATATAATCACATCCAGACATAATTGAAGTAGCGTTCACGTACACCAGGTTTTTTTACTTTAATCGATTTATAAACATTGTTACTGATTAAATACAGGAATCCGTTTGTGATTTTATTATACATCTTACTAATATTATAAATCCTGAAGTTTAGATGGATGGATTTTTGATACAAGATATCTCCAGAACGGCTCAACGGAACGTAATGAAATTTGGCACAAATGTAGATCATAGTCTGGAAGAACAGGCTACTTATATATATAAAGAATCTTTTTAACGCCGCGCGGACAGAGTCGCGGGCGAGCTAGTATGATATAAGACAACTGTGCTTACGTTTTATTTGGACAAGTATAAGTTTAAAAAATAACACGTTACTATATTATTAAAGTACTAAATTAGTAAGATCTATAGACGTAGGAGCGTCAGTGGCTCAGTGGTCAAGCACTTGACTTGCAATCTGCAGGTCCTGGGTTCGAATCCCGCCTTGTACCAATGTGTTTTTCGATTTCCGATTTACATATTATATGTACATTTATCCGACGTTCTTACGGTAAAGGAAAACATCGTGATGCAACCTGCACATATCTGAGAAGAAATTCAAAGATATGTGTGAAGTCAACCAACCCGCACTTGGCCAGTGTGGTTGACTGAAGCCTAATCACCCTTAACTTAGGGTAGGCTCCGAGCCCCTCGGTGGGGACGTATAGTGAGCTGATGATATATATAGACGTATACTATTCTTAGTTTTTGACGATGCTTTTGTCCAAATTCATTGGTATTTTTTTTAATCACTTTTAATAGAAATCTCGATAAGAGATACAATGATAATAGAGATATGTGGAAGAGTACATACGAGTACATTCATCCAATCAAGTTGACAACCCTACTATCGATTAAACAATCATATAGAAGGAAACCAGCGGTTTGAACAAACAAAGGAGACGAACAAGGCAAATTGATCCGCGGCTGAAGATAGCCCTGTTAATTATTCTACTAACTTGTAACCGAATTAGTTGGGGACGGCCGTCTGGAGTTTGCAAGATTCATTACTCCGTAAACATCGGCAAAGTATCAAAGTAGCCGGATCAAAGTTTAGGCCGCAGCGACGACGCAAGGATCAAAAAGATCATTTATTTTATACTTAATGCTATTTAAAATGTTGTCTTTGATTTGAAACGTTTAAAAGTTTTATAAAACGGAAATTAGGTTTGTTTTGGAATATTTTTTGTAATATTGATTACTTCCTATTATTTTTTTAGGAAATATACTCCTTAGTGTTTTTTGCGTAATATTTTTTTTTTGTTAATATCAAAATCTGGTTTTATTTTCAACATAAATCAGACAACAGTAGTTTTTTTGACGGCAAATATGTAGTTGGAATTTAATCTACTTGAAATAAAAAACTAACATAAATCATAGAAAAACTTGAATAACTTTTCGGCTGCCAGTTTTAATCGTTATACGTGACCTATATAAACTTTTCTGTTCAATATTGTTTTATGGCAAAAAAAAATATTGTTCCAAATCTAAATTAATCGCGAACGAATTTCAATAAACTAAAACAATTTTAGACTATAAATCATATCTGATACGTAATTTTACTATATTTCTACGTACTTATGTATTACAATAATTGAAATCGTACGTCTTTCAACAATGGAACATCAACTAAATAAAAAAAACGAAACGGTCATTTTTTGAATTTGGAACATAGTAGTCTCGTAACGTATTTAATAAGCCTCAAATGATGAATATGTCCTACTACTGAATTGCCTAAACATCCTCTTTTTCCCAAACATAATCTAATTATATTTACCCAAATTAATTCAATTATTCCAAAGTTGAACAAGAGCCTGTCTTTGTACAGTGAAATGATTATTGTTAGAAATATAACATGACGGCAGTCCAAGTCTCATTGTCTTAAAACATAATATCTGTGGCCCCGATGCTTCAGTACTTTGACGTCAAGCGGAGAAGCCATACTTGAAAAAAAAACTTGATTACATAAAGTAAATATATCGTTGTCTTCTAATTATTTTACGATGACGTTATTGTTGACAAATGTAATAGGAAATAAAATATAATTAACGCTTTATTCCAGACTAGCATTTGCCCGTGACTCCGTCCGCGCGAAATTAAAAAGTAATATATGTGTTCTTCCAGACTATGTTCTACATCTGTGCCAAATTTCATCAATATCCGTTGAGCCGTACTAGAGATTCTTTCTAACATCCATCCAATTAAACTTTCGCATTTATAATATTAGTAAAAGGTAAGAAAAGATAAACTAAATATCTAAAAACATATTGCCTACATTAAGTACCTGTCGGTCATATTCATGTAATAATCGAATAGTATTTAGAATCTAAAGTAATAGCGTTAAGAATTAAGTATGGCCTTCGGTGCACTATTATTACGAAGAAATAACAATCGGGGGCAAAGGATATAGCACAACTACTTTGTTCATTTTCATCATGTTATCATAAATTCATCATAACGGGGGAAAACCGCGGCATTGACAACGTGTGACTAATGTTGCCAGTTAAAAAAATTATAATAAATAAATATTAATTATGATTAATTTTTAACACCATTCAACTTTAACACTAGCGTAACTGTGAAACCTAAATTTGTTTTCCTCGTATTAATGATGTTACTTATGTCATACGACACAATTATCCTTAATGGAGATAATAAAAATGAACGTGATAATAAATATTGTAATTATTAAACACTAGCTTTTGACCGCGACTCCATCGGCACAAAATTAAAAAAAAAACTTAGTAGCCTATCTGTGTTCCAGAGTACGATCTACGTCTTTGCGAAATTTCGACGAAGAGATAGCTTCTAACGTACATCCCTCCATTCAAATATTCGCATTTATAATATTAGTAAGAAAACTATTGTATAACAAGAGATCGAGTTGTCCACCTTTTAATTAAAAAGAACAATGAGATGCGATTAACGCCAACAAATTAAATTGGGACAACTAAAGAGGTCATTTAATAAAACTGGAAAAGGATCCGTGAACGTCGAAACCGGTTTACATCTCTGAATGTTATTTCGATGTTCCCTTCACCGCTGGCGATATCTTTACAAAATTACATCTAAGCATTGAAATTATTGTTAGCTGTCACAATGGAAACAATATTAATGAAAATGTTGCCAGCCTTTATTTATAATCTAGGGCTCAATATTTAATTTGGGGAATTTGAAATAGAAATGTTATTATAAATTAATTAACTAAATACTTTAATGCTTTAGTTTATTCTTGACATTTTGTTAAATTTATCGTAACATTAAAATTGCAAATAAAGGTATAGATATTTGTAAAGCTAAGCTAATGAAAATATGACGAAAAGTACTTACGAAAACTGTCACGAAATAGACAGAGACGTGATAGAAATTTTGTCTGACAACACGATGTCTCTACTTAAAATACATAACTCTATTTTTGTTAAAAAATATGATGGTCGTAATAAAAGAAAAACCAAATTTAGATGAATTTCTGTGTTTTATTGCACGCAAGTTCACGTTCGCTCTTCAAATACGATCAAATCAATTAGTTTTAAAAGCAACCAATTTTCAATGGATATTATGAACATAGCCGGGTGTTTTGTAATCACTCTTCTATATCGGCCGTAGAATTCATTCTCTAATAATCTCTGTCTGCAAACAATTACATTGATCAAATTGATCGCCAGCTTACTTTTTAATATTTTAACTTCAATTGCTGATGCCACGACCGAGTATTACATTATCGTGGAAATAAAAACCATATGTTATTCCTATAGGAACGACCTAAAATGTCTTTGGTCTGGAATCAACAAGTAAAGATAGGCGACCGACGCGGCTCAGCCCGGTGTTACATCGACGTAGAATTCGTCAGACGACAACAAACAAAGCAACTAGTGGTAGTTGGAACTCCAGACGACAATCGTTAAAACCGGACCGGATACGTTAGCCGCGACCGTGGCCGATATACAATCACTTTTCAATTAATAAATAAATATATAAAAGAGGCAAGCACCTGCAGAATGCAACTGTCACTCGAAAAAAATGTTTTTTTTAATACGCACGAATGACGCTCGTTCCCGATCTCACTTTGCTTCGAGGCGCACTTGCCACTCGAGCCGGTAATCGGTATGTTTACGTACTGCCGGAGCAACAACACGGGCACAGGTGCACGGGAGCGCGGCGTGACGGGCGACCGCAATGCGTACGGTTCCAACGGCGGTCGGCGCGATACTGACTTATACTGATTTTAATAAGCGATCACCGCTCACTCTGAGTACGGCTTGAGCGGCGAACGTCGCGCGCTGAGCGGTGGTCGGCGGCGGCGAGTGGACAATTCGCAACTCGACTACCTCACTCTGTAACGTAACTTAACTCTACAATATTTTATAGTTTCGTAACCGTAATACTTGATTACAACACAACATTAGCGTTAATCGACATAAAGATTCGCTTGCCATTTCGGTTCAATCAATAAGATAGTTCTTATTCTAGACAAATGTCTGTATTCTTCAGTCGACATCAAGACCAATGTGTGTACTTCATATGCAGCGACTGTAATTACAGTCCAACGATAACTTCTCTAGCTCCAATAAAGAACTCGAGTAACTAAGAAGTTATATCATTGGCAAAGATTTCAGTCAAGATATTTTGCTTTTTCTTGGACCTCTTTTCCTATATAATGGACCTCTTTTTCTGTAAATATTTTTTATTATTTCAGGACAAGTAGAGTTGGCGAATGGCAGGCGGCCGTCCGTAAAAAATGCTGAGCCCACGAGAGTGGGGTAAGGCCAATGAGATGGTGAATTTATGATCGCATTAATAATTGCATGTGTCTTGCTTTAAAGTAGATGCAGTGAATAAGTCCGGCTCCTGTTTGAAGGGAAATTATATTTGTTTAATTTATATTGTATGTTTTCCGGTTTTATTTAATTACTTTAAAATATTAACAAAGCTTCAAAAGAAACTAGTATATCTAAATATTTGATCCAAAATTCTGAAGTCCGATAATGGCGGGCCTGCGAGCGCGCGATGAATATTCAAAATAGCAATAATGAAAACGACCGCCGCATCCCACCACCACCGGGGGCGGACGAGACGTTTGCGTAGCAGCCAGCGGCCGCACACCCTCTCCGCACTCTCTCCTCGCCCCCGTCACTTGACGACAGGCAATAATTATAAAACTGATGAAATTACGCACAAAACCACAAAAGTCAAAAAGTTAACTACGACATTATATGACTTCACCAAAAAGACATCAACGACATTTTCTAATATTACATTCTGGACTTGTATTTTACTATTCGAAATTTGTTACTAACAGTTTCTAACCCCATTGACAGTAAGGTAGGGTAATATTTTTTGCCAGTATGCTTGTACGTCTGTTTCATTGTGACTTTGATAGTAAAAAGACGGAATATGAAAAGTGGTAGTAAGTAACAGTAAACCAATTTTTATACAAAAGTAATGGGAAAGTAGAGCAGGCAACACGTTTCAGTCCTTCGCAACGATGAACGAAGAATCAATCCGCTTCGTTTTCGTTTGACTGCGGTATTTCTATAACATCCGATGGTATTCTTGGACCATTGATAATTGAATTGCCTAAGGAATAAAATGAAAACAAAGACTATATTAAGTAGTTTTTACAAATGTACAATACATTGAAAAAAAATGATAAAATCACTTTAATATAGATCAAAGGATCGCCGTAATACAAGGTTCAAATTCAATGTGGGTATTTCCACCCACCCTGGAACACAATCAATCGAGTTAAGCAATGACCTCATATCCATGGAGATTATTGGCGCCATAGACAGACTGACGAGTGACAGTTAATCGGAATTTCCATGTCATCGGTTTTTCCTGCTAAAAGCAGGACGTCTTCACATTAAACTCCTGCGTATTTTTAGACATTATTAGTTAGAATCCTATGGCGAGAATGGCGCGCTTTCGTTTCCAAGACGTCACATTGTTTGGTTAGGGGGACATAAACGGTGATATTTTAATTAGGCTAGTTTTGCGTCGATACATCGGCACAATGTCGGATTTTCTTCCTAACTGTATATATCAACGGCAAAAATAAAAGAAATAATGGAACTTGGTAACTTCCTTTATAAAGATATTGTTAGATCCGGGCAGACTATATTTCTTTACTCGTTTTGTTTTACGTTAATAATCGACATAATTTTCAATTTTTTTTTCAGATTTATCTATAATAATATTTTGAAATATCGTAGTACTAACTAGAAACATCTTTTGTAATAAATTATTGCGTAAAAACGCGGTCCAACTTTAATTGAATATTTACTAACTACGGATAGTTTTAAATATGTTTACTTTTAAAAGTTCACTAAAGTATTTAATAATTTTCAAAACAAACAAACTTTACGTTAATCGTAAACGACCATTACAAAACGACCCTGATCATAATTTGGACACTAAACAACCCAAAAATTCATATTTGAACTTTTTACATATTTGACATTTATTTTTTTAAAACCTAAAATGAGCACACATGGCGAGACTACGACAGCGCCGCGGTGGCGCGATGCAGCAACTTAGTGAAAAATCATGTCGTGGTCGACTACACGATAAAGCCATATGTAAATAACGACCCGCAGTGCTCTGCCTACCAAATAAAAAATTAAAGAGAAAAAATTAAAGTGACGGTTATTAGTAACGATGTCAAAAAATATTATGAAATATTATTTTGTTAGTAATCAATAACTTTTTTTGCAAAAACATCTATCTGTTTTACCAAGGAAAATGTGAGGTGCAACAATATTAAATTTCTGGACAAGTTTCGTGAAAAATAACAACATTTTTGCTGCTATATGTCAATTTCATAAAAAATACTACTGCCGAAACCCGGGATTGAACCGGGGACCTTTAGATCTTCAGTCTAACGCTCTCCCAACTGAGCTATTTCGGCTATGCTCTGACTTAACAAAAATCAATAACAAAAAACAAAAGATAAGTAACATGTTATCAATTGTTATTTACGTTGCACTCCAGTGATAAAACGTCGTGATTTAATAACATAAGTTTTTTACATTAGTTTCCTTAAATAAAAGAAATATAAATCTTAATCTTTCTTAGCAAAACCTAATAAAGTAAATGACATAACTAGAGTCAACATAATTTCCTCTAAAACATGTCAAGTCGAAAGCTACATAGAAATACTGCTATCTTACTAATATTATAAATGCGAAAGTTTTGATCGATCGATGGATGGATGTTTATCAGAAGGTAATTCCAGAACCGTTTAGGATCTTTATGAAATTTGTCATGGATGTAGACCATAGTCTGGAAGAACACATAGTTAACAACAACATAGCGAACAATTAGGTTTTTTTTTAAACTTTTTTTTATATCAAAAGGCGGCAAACGAGCTAGCGCCCACCTGAAATCGCTAAAATAGCGAAGTGACCGTTGCCCATAGACATACGCAATGGCATATGCGTTGCCTACCTTTAATCGACGGAGGTGAGGATGCACAGAAAGCAAATATTTTCCCTTTCCAAGCATCCTCTCATCCGGAAAGTCGACTTCGACTTCCCATCCTTTCCTTATAAGAAAAGGGTGGGAAGGGAAAGAGGACTAAATTAGGCCTCCGGGACGCACACTTATCAGAGGAAACGCGGAATTGCTTCCACTTCACGCCTGTTTTCTGTGTGGTGGTGGTATTTCACCGGGCGAACCTGGCCAATTCGTGCGAAGATGTTAAAGCGGGTTCTACCACTCTTAACTCCGCGTGGACTAAGTAGAGGACGAGTATAAATAAACATATAAGTAAGATTTGAATGGATTATGTAGATTGAATTAAAGCTTGATTATTTTGTTCTGATTTAAATACAGTTAAAATAACTTTAGTGTTAAAGTATTTATTAGATCAGACGGCACTGTACATGCGAAACTATATTTCCTGGCATAAATTATGAATCACAGATTTGTTATCAGCAGTTCAAAAATGCTTAATTACTATTTCTATTAAAATCAATAGGTCACACGTGCTATTGCCGAAAATTGTCAACACAGCAACAAACAATGCAAATATAATTTGACCTAACTAATACCTAAATTAATATTTAAAATAAATTTACGAAAAAAAATTATAATAGGCCTTATAAACGGTTACGAAAAGTGATTTTTTCATCTGCGAAAGTGCAATAGTTAATTATAAGTCTTCAGCTATTAATTATTCTGATCAACTTATTAATGTTAAAAGTATTTGTTTTTTTTTTAAATATTGAACAAACATTATGTATGCCAGATTTAATTAATTTTCGTTGTTTTTGTATTTTAAAAATTTTTGGTCACTGACGACCATCTCCACAAATGGAAAGGCCATTGCTTGGAAATGACAGCTTTTGATATATTCCGATTTAACCTCACCTGTTGATATTACGTGATAGTTATTTCTATCTATATTGCTAGTTCTACAAACCCTATGACCAAAGAACTAACTAATTTGTTGCTTAGAGTAAAACCGCTACCTATACCGCTATAAAATGGCGAAAATCAAATAGGCACATAATACTATGTCTTATAGCCAGTCCATTTATAGATGTCTGTGATCACGACCATTTAAATCTAATAATCAATTTATATTTACAAGCATACTTATGTATTAGTCTTTATATATAAAAACGCCTTCTTATTTTATAAAAATGTTTTATTATTATTATTTTATGTGGAATAATTTCTGCTCACTACTATTAAGAAGGCGTTAATTTGTGTTTAATTATAACATTTTGAAATTGTCAATGCCAAACTGTGTGACTATTCAGATTTAGTTTCCGTCTCAATTCTCGTAACTTGGTTATACACACGTATAACAACAGTATTGCCATCTCTCCTATTCTTGCTATTTTTTCAGTAAAGACACGAATATTTGCGTACCTTCTCTACCTTGTCTTTCTCTCATTTTCCAATCTGGCAATGTTTTACTGAAAACGGCTTGAAACATTATTAACTAAACCCCCAATTAAATTTACGATACATAAACGTTACGATGCGATATATAAAAATATGTACACATGTCCTCTAAAATTGGAATATTAAAAGAAATATTGCGAATTACAATAAAAGTAGTGGACATCCCCGAAGTAGTCTATCTCTTTCTCACTCTTTCCTTTCATTTTTTGTTGTTTGACATAAAGGTCAAGGTCATTGGTTTTATTTTGTTTATAATTGCATCACCTTATTTAATTTGATTTATTTTCCTAATAATTTTACTTCTTAATATGATTTAAAAAATACAGTAATACATAGTGTAGTCATTTAATTTTCTCCAGAATTTAAAATGATAAAATATAATACATTCGTCTTGAGTTATCAGTTATTTTTATCGTAGTTAATTAGAATTGCAGATAAGATGGTTTTGGTTTGTTTAATACATTCAACAAACGAGTCTCGCACATCACGGTCGCCGATTGACGCTTACGAAAATGGCTAGTTTATTGACGCAGAAAAGTTTAGTTATTGGAAAGTTAACAAAATATGTTAATGATTGTGCGAAAAGGCTTTCCTCGCATTTTATTTACTATCCCGATAATGAAAAACCGGTTTCAGGTATGTATTAACTTTTATTTGAACGACCTTACTTTATTCTAAACATGAAACAACTGTTTATGTACACTAAGCAAAGATGTGATGTTATATTTAATGATTAAAATAGTAAAATCCTTTTTGTTCCTTGTAATATCTTATAATTTAAGTTATAAGGCTTTAAGTTACATAAACTTGTACAGTAAAGTAATAATTTTAGTAAATTACTTATGAAAACACAAATTAATCATATTGATTTTCATTATTTATTAATAAGAACTCTTTATAACAATTAAACTGTATATAACACTTACTACAATAATGATACTAATAATTCCCTTCTGTTTTCTAGAATCTAGGAATAGGCTGAGTTGTAGTCACAATATAACATTCCATTTTCAAACTATAAAATGCTGAAACATGTTTTTAATTAATTCATTGTAAAATAACAGGTGAAACAACTAAAATGAATATGATGCAAGCAATAAATAATGCAATGGACATCACATTACGGGACGATCCAACTGCAGTGCTGTTCGGTGAAGATGTTGGCTTCGGAGGAGTGTTTAGATGTGCTCTCGGCTTGCAGGTAACAAATAATACATTATTATATAGTGTTACAAAGTTATTATCATTATTCCCAATCAAAAGACTAAATTGTTTGTACTAAATATTATCTATAAAAAATTCATAAAAAACAAAACTATTACAGTATGTTTCTGTATTTTTATGTTATGTCAGTTTAATGAAAGTACGGCAAATAATTTAGATCTCATGTTTTTTTTACTAAAAAATGGTTAGCTGCAAAGGAAGAGGAAAACCAAAGAAAATATGGATGGATTGTATGAAAGAGGATATGTATAAGAAGGAGGTAAATTCACATATGATGGCTGATAGAGATGTATGGAGGAGTACATATTGTGTCGACCCGCTGATAAGGGGAGGATGGTGATGATGGTTTCTTAAACTAAAGGCTCTAGCAGTTTTTTATAAGGGAATTAGGCTAAAAAGCTGCAACAATATTACAGAAAAATTAAACAATTTTTCTTCCTAGTTAATATTACTTTAGGTTAAAATCTCTCTTTGGCTTACTCTACTAAGCAAAAACTAATGTAATTTTCAGGACAAGTACGGCAAAGACCGTGTGTTCAACACACCGCTGTGTGAGCAGGGTATTGCTGGGTTCGGTATTGGCCTGGCGACCGCAGGAGCCACCGCTATAGCTGAAATACAGTTTGCTGATTACATATTCCCAGCATTTGATCAGGTAACTATAACCTTACATTTACTGCCACATTTACAGTTGTTAGTCTAGATTTAGAACTCCGTTAGTCTAGATTTGGTATAGGACATGTGACTGATGGGGCGTTCAAGTTCTAGGTCAAAATAAACATAAATATATTATTTATGTATTTTACCTTCTCTTGTAGATTACTAATAGTATGTTGTTTTCTATATATTAGAATAATGACTTTAATTAATTTTAATGCACTCTGGCAATTCTATAAATTACTAAAATAAAATATAATTTTACACAAGCACTTTATATTATTTTGTGTTGACAAATTAATATTGTTTTATTTATTTATATGTGATGTAGTGATTAATATTATTGGTTTTTTGAATATATTTGCCGTTTTTATTGTATTTTTCTTGAAAAAGGTAACCATTGGATAAGTTGTCACATTTGTTTTATATCAAACTAGTTGTCGCCGGCGACTCCGTCTGCGTGGAATTAAAAAGAACTTACTTAATAGGCTTAAGTGTTTTTCAGACTATGTTCTACAGTTGTGCAAAATTTCATCAAGATCCATACAGCCATTACGGAGATACATTCAAACAAACATCCATCTAAACATTCGCATTTATAATATTAGTATCAAATTTATTCACATTAAAAAAATAGTTTAAGGATACAATATGTGGCCCTAGATCTTATTATTACTTGTTGAAAACGATTGTTACTGTTCAATGCTATTGATGTTTAATTTATTGTCTTACAAGCGTAGTGATATTGCCATATTTGGTCTTTTATATATCTTTTAGATGGTTCTAAAGGGTCAAAAGTGAGTCGTGGTTGGGGTCGCCAAAATGGCGAAGATGAAATAATTATAAAATAACTTGGTCTATAGCCTGTCCATTATATATAAGTGTGTGTGTGACGTGTCAGCTGGTGAACGAGGCAGCGAAGGCGCGGTACCGGTCAGGCGGACAGTTTGAGTGCGGCGCGCTCACAGTGCGCGCTCCGTGCGGCGCTGTCGGACATGGCGGACTCTATCACTCACAGAGCCCGGAGGCGTACTTTGCGCACACGCCTGGACTCAGGGTGAGGAACTAATCCACACAATATTTGCTAAGTGATTAAAATGAGTACAGTCGCGTGAATTAATGGTGACTCACTTCCTAAATTGCCTTGTAAAAACTTAAACTACAGCTTCATGACAAACAGGGCCGGTACATTTCACATTTCTGGCACCCTGGGTGATTTGATTTTTGCAGTGCCCCCATTTTTGGTGTCGGGGAAAATCTTCCAAAAATAGGGCGCCATAAGTGCCACTTTATGCCCGGAACCCAGGGCGCTCGTCCCACCTGACCCTGGCTCTAACGCCGCTACCGCGTACAAATAAACGAATAGGGTGCTAAACTGTTCTCTAGCTATTGTATCCTGGTAAAAATGCTACTGTTACACCATTTACAGATTTTCCAAGGCTCACTACTTGTAGCAATACCGACAAATCACGTGATTGTACATGAATGCATTGGGATCATTTATGTTTAACATGTACAGGTGGTGGTGCCGCGCGGACCTATCGCAGCCAAGGGTCTGCTGCTGGCCTGCATCAGGGAGCGGGACCCCTGCATCTTCCTGGAGCCCAAGATCCTGTACCGGTCCGCAGCCGAGGAGGTGCCCGTGGAGGACTACACGCTGCCGCTCGGCAAAGCACAACTACTTAGAGAAGGTAACATAAATTTCCTATTGTAAAATATGATTTAGGCGTTTGTTTCCCTTTAGTCGACTTTTTTTACCTACACAAGTGTCCGGAAAAGTGATAAGAGCCGACTATATTTTCTTATAAGGAAATAATGGAAAGTAGATTATATAGTCTATGCGTGACGTGGAAGAGGAAATAATTTTGATTCAAAGTAGGCAAGGTATCTACAATTGTGGATGTCTACGGGCAGCGGACACTTCGCTATTTCAGCGAATTCCGATGGCCGCTCGCCCGGTTGGCAAAAACTTGTAAATGTATAATTAGAGTAGAGCGTGCGGTGTATGACAATGTATGCGGTGCAGGCACATCTGCGACGCTGGTGGGATGGGGCACGCAGGTGCACGTGCTGCTGGAGGTGGCGCAGATGGCGGAGGACCAGCTCGGCCTCACTGTGGACGTCATAGACCTGCAGTCCATCCTGCCCTGGGACGAGGACACCGTCTGCAATGTTATTACTTTTATACTTTTATAGCTTCCTTATATTCTTATTAACTTCATTGTCTAAAATTTTATCAATCGTCTATGCGTTCCTTCAGATTATGTTCTATATGTATGCCAAATTTCAGCAAGATCCGTTCAGCAGTTCTGGAGATATCTTCTAACAAACATTCATACATGTAAACTTTCGCATTTATGATATTAGTAAGATATGAGCTTTTATATAATATAACTGTTGTCAGTCTGTGAAGAAGACGGGGCGTTGTCTGATCGCACACGAGGCGCCGCTCACCTGCGGCTTCGGCGCCGAGCTCGCCGCCACAGTGCAGGTATACACATACCTTACATGTTCAACAAACAATCGCACGCAACTTTCTCAACGCAGCAATAATATAAAAATGATAGCCTGTAACGTGCTTGCATGAGTAAGCTACCTTCCCGTCGCAGTCACATCTAAATCTGTCCAGCCAATCCGGAGATTACACAGACCAAATGTGGGCTTGCGGACAGAACGACTAATATTTTAAAATGTGGCTTTTTTTCGATGTTACAAACGGACAGTAGAAGAATGTGATGTGCAACTTGTGCAGGAGGAGTGTTTCCTGCACCTGGAGGCGCCGGTGAGCCGCGTGGCGGGCTGGGACGCGCCCTTCCCCCACGTCTTCGAGCCCTTCTACCTGCCCGACAGGTGGCGCTGCTTCGCACAACTCAACAAACTACTGCACTACTGACGCACTACTTTACTACTTTACTCTCTTGCCCGTTTTTTATGGTTTCTGTTATTATAAGAGAAAATAATTAAATTTTACAAATATCCTTTTGTTTTTTTTCTGTATTTAGAGTTAAGTGAAGCTTGCAGGTTCGACAAGCGAATGGTAGTAACTGTGTTTCCTTACTAAAATGTGCAAGTCCCGATAGAAACTTAGATTCATTCAGTTGCTACTTTTTTTTCTTCTTTTCGCTTGAATGCAATAGCCAATTTATGTTTTGAATACTACTATAAAAGCCGAAATAGCTCAGTTGGGAGAGCGTTAGACTGAAGATCTAAAGGTCCCCGGTTCAATCCCGGGTTTCGGCAGGCTTTTTTTAGTTTTACGAAAAGCAAAACATCCAAACTATTCCTATTTCTTTTAAACGAAAATAATTTCAAGTCAGTTTAGTGAAGTGTTTCAAAAAAGTCGGTAAAATATTATATAATTGTCTTGGTGGTTGAGTTAGTGAATGACGCATATAACGGTTAATGCAAATTCGCTGTGTAACATAAAACCCCGGGAATGTTTGTCGTTGATATTCAAATTATGAAAATGTATTGATAACATTGTAAAATACGCAAGTCATCTTTGTTAGAACTATCTTGTATAAATAGAGGTTAAAAAGTCAAATTAACGATCTTAACATCTAAAGAAATAAAAAACAGATATTTTTACTATTATTTATTGAAAAAGTGAAAATGAATGCATAACACTAGAAAGTAAAATTTTGTTTAAGATATTTGAAAAATTAATGTTAACCTTAAGATATACACACTGCATATTCCACTTTGTAACCTGCAAGTGAAAAAATACAAATAGGAAACTTTTACAAAAGCTGTTCATAAACAAATGTAAAGTAAAATGAAATAACAAATTCCTCGCTGACAAAAAAAGAAATTACAATGAAAATAATCAACTGACTGACTTGTGATGACAATATTTACAACACGTCAAGTGCACAACTTTAAAAAATAAGGCAACTTTTATTTGTTAAGTCTTACAGCTAAGTTTATTCTTATATCTCTGATATCATTTTACCTTGCTTTGAAATTACCAATAATTCCATATTACAGCATATGGAGGAGCTATGCAGTTTAGTTTACACATAAGTAAAAAAAACTATAACATGTCAAAAACCTTACGTCAAGAGAACATTACATGTGTTGTTATAGTTTTTATATTACAAGTAACAATATCAAAACATATTAATTATCTTTTTGCGTCCAAATCAAGTCAAATTAGAATACCTAGTCTAAAGTAAAAAAATTGTAGAAAACAGTTTAACAAAGAATTTGAACATGCAACTTAAATACATAATACATTAACTTGTCTATGTAACTATTGTGCCGATGGCGATCAAAACAACTAACTTTAAAAAATGATGTAAAAAGCAATTTGCTTATTAGAATGCCGCTGAACTTGTGGTACTGTTTACCTGCCGCAACCACAACTAATTCTTGCTGTTTTTTCTTATTATGCTTGTTCATCAGCTGTTTACAATTTTGATCAGCGGCGACGTGAAGGCTTCAGAAATGGTCCTGTTGAGGGTGAGTTGGGAAACCTCTGCATGTACCTCTCCAGACGCAGGTACTTCACTGTGATGAGCCGGCCCTCATACCACCAGCCGTGCAGGCTCCTGTACACCACGCCCGCATCAATCGTCGTTGAGCACTTCACGTAGACGCAGCAAGACGCCCGATCAATGTCGATGTGCAGAATGTTGCATCTGTCACCGCATTTCTCCAGTATAGCATCCTGGATGACCGATCTCAAGTTAGGGTTGGTGTCATTTTTATCAAACATGTGACGGATCTTCAGGCAAGGGGTCGGAGACACGGTGAGATTGTTTACAGATCCTTCTTGAGTTTCGAATGCCTGGCCCTGCCATGCTGCGCTGCGCTTGGGGCTTCCATGGGGAGAAATCCACCTCCACACTCTGCAGTCTTCACCATCCACAGATTGCACTTCCATTCGCACTCTGCTTTCATTTGTCTGTATGAATTTGACGGCCGCATCCCAGGTTGATGCCATTTTCTCTCTGTTTTGGGGAGATATTAAGGTGTCTCTTACGTGATCAACTGATATGTAAGGTTCTCCGCTATCTTCAGTTTCTTGAGATATAATGTCTATGATCTGTTCAACCATGGAGTAGATTTCTTCACTCTTCTTCTTTTGATATCTCACATAGTATTTGTAGAATCTTTGTAAGCCAAGTATTACAACACTAATCAAGCCAACAATGATGAAAGTAGAGCCAGCGGAGTAAAGAGTGTTAACAAACAAACAGGATATAGGTGTAGATGGATCAGTTAAAGTTATAGCCACACTGCCTTTGTTGCGTTGCTGCACAACTATGTCAACAGAAGTAATAGGGGTGTACTCAACATCTTTAGTATACAAATTCTTTAATTGAACGACAGAGAGGCCCCATCGAGGGTTGTTAACAATCAGGACTTGCAAATTATTCAAATCTGTCCGACATTGACTCACATCTACCATCTCAGCTCTTGAACTAGCAATGTCAATAATTTCTTTTTCTGTGAGATATGGCAGAGCACCTGGCTTACCACATTGGTATGAGGCAATTCGAGTAGTCAGTTCCGGATGTATGACTTTTAGAAGATCTTTCGCATAGCTGACATGTTCTCGGGGTACACAGTTAATGCCTGGTCTATTTCCAGGTATATTTAATTGACATATTGGTATGAGACTGTTTTGATCATCAACCACTGAGGCAATATCATTTTTCTTAACTAGATACATAAAGAATAAGCAAAAAAAAAAAAGTGCAACTAACACAACAAGGGCAAGAGACACAAGATTGTTTTTCAGAAACTTTTTGTCATTCACTGATTTATAGTCAACAACATCTGCTGATCTTGTCACACCAGTCATGTACGACCTGCGGGGCAGGACTGTGCTTCCATTGTTTGTGTCTTGGTCTAAAAATGTGCTCGTTTTGGGCGGGTCTGACTTCAAAGAAGATAAGCGGCGAGTAAAATTATTTAGATAAGGAGATTCAACTTCATCTACATTGTTTGATGTATAGTCAGATATGTAACTGCTAACAGAAGGCCTATCAGCCAGTGTAGATGTTAGGCCAAGTCTAGATCTTATAGAATTCAAATGATCAGATGAGGAAAGTATTGGTGATGAGTAGTTAGTGGAAGAGATAGAAGGAATTGTGTAAAGAGATGGCTTGGGAGGACTGGTGCTGGCATTGGCAGTAGGCAGTGTGCTGGAGATGTGGTCGCTAGCTCTTGAGTTGCTTCTATAAGGAGTGGAAGTTTTCTTGTCACCGTCAACATCACTGTCTGAGCCTGTCTCATAGTCATCTTGGTCATTTGTGTATGTCCTTTTTATCTGACGAGTAGTTATAGTTTCAACTTTCTCACGTATGCGCACGGGTGACTTCTCTTCGTCAGATTCTGATCCTTTGTCGGAGTCGGGTTTAACGGGAGAATCTTTTTTAACAGGTATATGGCGAGTCTTGCTACTAGCCGGCGGTAACATGGACCCTCCAACTTTGCTCCGGCGGCCTCCTCGTTTATCTTTAGCATTACTGGCGTCTAAGTCAGACTCCTCGCCGCTCGAATAACGCGCGAGCGAACGTCTGCTTTCTACTTTACTGTCAACACTGTTTCGCGGCTTGCTCTTATTGTCCAAAACGAGTTTTAATTTCTTTACCAACAGTTTTCTAGTAGAAGCAGTGATCGGCATAATAGGAAATCCATGCTCGGCTAGTTTAGTTCGAAGCTCCGCATCTGACATTGAATCTACTTGATCGGCCATTGTAGCAACTGTAAGGAAATACACACAGTTATTGCATGCGCGTTGATCACAATGTTTATAAACGTTTATGTAATAAACAATTTTCACCTCACTGTATCGGCGTATAAAATAAAAATTACGTCAAGTCTTTAAAATAAAATTCACCGGCGCGTCATCTCGCACGCGCTAAGAAAACGTCGGTAAATTACAATCAGTAAAGTTGCCATACTGAAATCAAGAGTTAATAAATAATTTGTACCAAATTTTGTTTAAAAAATAAACTAAAATTGAATGGTGAAAAATAGAAATTTAAATTTTAGCGACCAATATTTAATTTTAATTGGATTAATGTTCAATTTCTTAAAAAATCCACAAGCATCATCTAGGGTGTTTAATATTAGGGTTATTGTAAAAGATCATGGTAAGAATTGAAATTAAAAATGTAGTAATACTCCAGTTTTCATTTGATTTCTCCAGAAATCAAATAAAAACGCTTAGATCATAGACATCATGCAGAGGTCAACTATGATAGTTTATTAAACGCTTATACACGATCATATTTTGCTCTTCGAATTACTTATATATAAGTAGCTTTTCTCATGTTATAAAAATTGTAGTAATATGAATTCAACAACAACATGATTGGCGCGGTTTTGAGTGTTGGGAGGTACTAATCGTGATCCGTAGATCACTCGTTAAATCAACTCGCCAAAGACCCCAACAACTTTGTCATTGGCGATCTGGGAGAGCGATCTTATAAAAAATATAACCTTTTTTAACCAGTACTTTCGGGACAAGGTAATTAAACGAACAATTAGTACGACATCATTTATTTTTATTATATTAACAAAATTACATTCATTCTAAAGAGCTTGTATATTTGTTCTGTACATACAAACAATACCCAAAAACGTCGTAGATAGCAAATTTAGTACATCATTACGACAAAATACAAGTAGAAAAATAGAAAATAAATATAGTTTGTCTATAATTAGCATAAAAATATAACTTAAAAAGGACTGTAGTGAGTAATAACAAAAACAAACTTTGAGCTGGAATATAAGACAGGTACATAGATTGTACATGAAAATTGTCGCATATAGATATAAAATAAATAAAAACTTTAATAAAGACTTATCGCCATCTCACACATTTTCTTTGAAAAGATAGAGACAATAATTCGTTTAAAATTTGAATAATAACAAACAATAATATAACATTTAATTTCATTATTTGATAAATGGAAAAGTTCATTTCCCAAAATCGAAACATACTTTGAATTTTATAATTTCCTTAACTTATTTGAAATTAAACAACCAAACCATTTTTTGTTAAGTATTCACTTATTAAATTATAATATTAATAAAATAATATTCATCACAGATATATGTACTCATAGATATGCAACAAGTGAGGTAAAAAAGTCATGTATCAAACAGTGAACAATAAATGCATCTCGATCTTGCGAATAAACTCAAAATTTCATTATAATTTTTGTTCAACCCTCCAACATAGCTATCAAATGAATGGGCTTGACTAGTAGAGTACGGTGAACTATGAAAAATCCAAAATGATCGTCGTCACAAAATGGCGGATGACAGTTTTTTTTTAATTTTTAAATTTTTTACAGTTATACTGCTCGTGTACGTCGTTCATTTGCTGCTCATGTCGGGGAGTTGTGCAAAACTATTACATCCGCTATTGCTGCGGCGGTCATCTTGGACACTGAATGTAAAAAGTGACATCGTCATCAGGACAGTCAGTATCAAATTTCCGAAAATCTGACAACGGGAAGTGGTCATAGAGGCTAACAGTAGGAATTGTAAAATACAGAGATTTATCCAACATTGCCTACGACAATTAAACACCGATATATATAAAAATGAGACTTAACTCACAGATGAAACTTTACTTGTGACTTTTTATTTGACACCAATCTAACGATGAAATCGCCATTATCGTAACATCTAAAGGACGACAATATTGCTATCTCGCTCATTATCTTTGAGAAAAACAGAGATAGTCATATAGAAGTGTGACATGATTTAGTTTTAGGGTTACATGCTAACACATATATTTTGAATATAATAAACATTTAATGGGCAATGTGATTGCCTATGGGGATATGAGAGAGTAGAGTAGAGAGTTGGGGGTGGTTCTAGCGCGGCGGACGCCAGCCCCCGAAGGCGCGCTCCAGCTGTCGCGCCACGGCCAGGCACAGCCGGTCCTGGTTGGGTCCAGCTATCACCTGCAATGCCATAAACATACTTTATATCTTCTTCTATTTCGATGGAAACGCCATTTTCAGTTTAGAAGCTGTAAAGAATCCATTTTTTTAATTTTATTCTACGGAAATAAAAAAAAATGATATTGTACAGTTGTGAACGAATTAGATGAGGGAGGACGTATAAGTAGTGAGGGGCGGGGTACTGTACCTGCAGGGCGAGCGGCATGGTGTGGCGCGGGTCGTGCACGGGCACCACGGTGGCGGGCAGCGCGAGCACGTTCAGCGGCATGGTGTAGAGCACGCCGGCCGCGCGCAGGAACACCAGGCTGTGCGCGTGCGCGGGCCCGCAGTGCGCGGGGTACAGCAGCACGCCGTCGGACCCCAGAGTGCTCTGGTGGTACAGTGGAACAACAAACATTAACGTGTTCAAGAAACGTGTCATGTATAGAGTATGTGAAGAGGGAGCGAGGGAGGATGTGGTTACCTCGATGTCCTGCTGCAGACGGCGCGCGAGGTCCTGGTAGTGCTGGGTGCGCGCGCGCGGGATGAAGAGGCGGGTGCGGCTGATGAGCGCGAAGCCGAGCGCCTGCAGGGAGCGCGACGCCGCACCGAACGCGCTCTTCATCAGCTCCAGCAGAAGGCTCTTGTCGCGCTGCAACACAAACATCATTACATCCGGCACGAAGGACCATTTTTGCAACAAAATGTTTATAAGCGTAATGATAGTGCTCAGAAATGGTCGGCAATGTCTCGCTCAAATACTTTGTCAGTTAAACAATGACATATTGTAAGTACTAATATAACTAACACAATAAAATCCTCGCAATACTAACTTTAGGGTTGGCGGGATCGTGCAGCAGGTTGGGGATGTCTTTCATGGAGAAGAATACTGATATTGACATCTCCACTGAATCCTCTAGGGCTTTGAATTTTTTCTGCAATAAAAATACAAACACGACTTTACGTTTTTAGATATACGAAAATAACATTATAAAATACTTGTAAAACAATACTTGTTCACTTAAATCTATTAAAAAAGGTGATCCGCTCCTTTGTAAGCAAATTTTATGAATATTTCCTAAAGTAATGTTTTTTGTATTATATAAATATGTATATAAGATAACCTCAGTGAGGGTGGCGCCGCAGTGGTCGCGCAGATGTGTGGCGGCGCGCACGATCAGCTCGCGGATGGAGAGCTCCACGGGCAGCAGCGCCACAGACCTGGACGCCTCCGTCATGTAGTGCACCTACAGTACACACACACACGTACATACGACTGCGCACTTCAGACCGGTTGTCAGTACAACACAGGTACTAATGGAGATGCAGACCTTGATGGTGGAGAGGTCGACGGGCTGGTGCAGGTTGAGGAGGTGGCCGCGGTCGCCGGCCATGACGCCGAGCACGAGCGGCAGGTCCTCGGCGTGGCGGCAGATGGGCCCCACCGTCAGGAACTTGGGGTACATCTCGTCCGTCAGCGTGGGGATGTGCCCCTCGATCGGGACGATGCCTACACCACGTGCACACGTTACGTGCTGTGCTGTGCAGTGAGATGTGTCGGTGTCGTGTCGTGTGTGTGTCGTGTCGGTGTTGTGCGTGTGTCGTGTCGCATGTCTCACCGGGCGTGGGCTTGTGTCCGAACAGTCCGCAGAAGGCTGCAGGGATGCGTATGGAGCCGGCGATGTCGGACGCCACACTCACCGGGGAGGCGGCGCTCGCCACCAATGCACTCTGACAAAACAACCTTATATTGTTTTAACATAATTACCTATAGGAATAAACGCATTACGTACATATTTTGCGAAGCGATACATCACAATAATTGTGTAAAGTATATAAATAGTTGATTGCACGATAACGTACTTGTAAGGTTGCGAGAGGCAAAGCTCTACTTATTCCCCGACGTGTATTATGTAAAGCCTTCTTTCCGATCCTTTGTTTACGTTTTTATGTGAACAAAGAGAACCGTTCGATAGCGAAGTTTTCCGCTTTTCAGGTTTTCATACATTACGTGCAACCATTGAGAAGTTTAGAAATAAAAGTTGAAAACATAGACAAGAAAATAGAAACTTTACCTTTCATTATCTTTAACACAACAGAGGTATTAAGAGAAAATACTCGTAGTGGAATCGTACGGTTGCATGATCGTCAAACATATCGCAATGAACGTACACTATTAAGTATTCCATTGTTTGTACCTATATGAAAGAGCACGCTACGAGTGTACACATTACATTAACATCGCCCGTACTCTGAACAAACTTTGTGTATTTACCATCATACACATATTACTTGTTTATATTAACTATACTTCAATTTAAACTCTATATTCCTACAAATGGCTTTTTTTTTTCCTTTTTTAACTTTTTCATATGCACATAGGTTTTAGCATTTCCGACACCCTGGGCGAGAGTTTTGCAGTGCCCCTTTTTTGGTGTCGGGGGAAATCTTTCCAAGATACAGTATCTTAAGGGGCACCACAGGCGCCCTTTCATATCTCACTTTACAAGGCGCCCTGGGCAACCGTATATTAATTCTCTTTATGTCTGTCTATCCCAGTTTAGTTCGTTAGTTTTTTTTTCGTGTACAAATTACGATATAATTTTTATCTTTGGTCTGTGGGCAGCCTTATTTAGCATTGTATCGCCAGTACAAACAATTAATTCAGCAACATTTCCATAACATTGTATTAAGTCAAGTGATATGAATTTTGCATCGGTACGTGACAACGTGTGCAACAAGCTGAAGGACAATTACGTATGGTGTTTGTATGAACATGTATGTATTTGAACAAGTCACTAACAACCTTTTAGTACCAGGGTGAGGTTGTGCGAATACTTTACATTGCATATATTTATTTATGTACAACGTTAATTGGTTTGCTAAGGTTATTTGTAAACGTACGTTTTTGTATTTTTCAGAGATTTTTAAAGACGAACCACTGTAGCTTATTAAAACGTCAGTTTAAAAATAACGAAAATAAAAAATATAAAGTTATTATTTTTTGCAATTATTTGACGTCACTTTGGCACAATCTTTTTACATTATTTAATTAAAAAATCTTGTGATGTTAAAATTAATCTCCTCTATAGCAAAACTTAACAGTAACTATATCATTATATTATGTACATGATAACATCATTGGTTCATTGCAAATCACGATGGTTTAACATAATCTGTGTCATTTTAAACTGTTGCATTTTACATGAGGTGTAAGGGAAGACTGTGTGCAGTGTGCCAGTGCGTGTCTGGCGGTGTGCCAGGAGACGACTCGATCAGTACATCGCAAGGTAAACACGTCATGTTATTGCTCCCTTACTCTAGCCACAAGGATGTTGAAACACACAACTAATTTCGCGTAGGTTTCCGCTGTTGTATCGTATTAAGTATGGTGTCATCTCTTTTATAGTTCTTGGAAAAACTGGTCCTTTTGTCTTTCATTTATTAGCAAATTTAAGTCAGAACAGTTATTCGTATAAAGAGAGACCAGAGTAACCGTTTAATATATGAAAGTAAACATTGTGAAAAACAGAAAGTAACATAATTAAATATAAATAGGTAGGGGTGAGATAAATAAGGGTATCAGGTGTTAACCCCCCTCCCGCCACCACTGGTCGCGGCGGCAGTGGCGGCAGTGGCGGCAGTGCCAGTATCAATTATCCATGAACTGTCCGCTCCCCCGCCGCACCCCCGCCGCTCCCCGGGCGAAGCGTGGCGCCTCTCATTAGCTTTGTTGTGCTAACGTTAACATGCATCATTTCACGAGGGATCGATTCATTTTCATACATAAACAAATGGTGTTGTTCTTTTAAATTATTCTCTTTTAATAGCCCCCTTCACAATGTTTACCACCCTGTATTTGTGGTGAAGTCAAAAATATCAGAAAAAGTTTTATACATGAGCCGTTCATTGAGACCCCCCAGACGAGGTCGTTAATATTTTTTAAACACGTTCCTTACTACTACGATTTTTTCGAAAGCACAGGGCAAGGCGGTGGGCACTGCACGTGTTAATATCCTATTTGGATTCGATCAAGCACTTTAGTTAGTATTAGACTGATGTAGGATTTTTTTTAGTTATTGAAAGAAAAAAATGTTGCGAGTCTGACCTCTCCGCCGGAGGATCCCCCGGGCGTGCAGGCGAGGTGGTAGGGGTTGTTGGTGCGGCCGTGCAGCAGGCTGGCGGTCTCCCAGCCCAGGCACAGCTCGGGCGTGGCGGACACCAGCAGCGGCACCGCGCCCGCACTGCGCACGCGCGCCACCGCCGCCCCGTCCTCCGCCGCCACGCTGCCCGACCGCTCCACGCACCCCACTGAGTTCGACATGCCTGCGCGACATTTTCTACACATGTATCTACGACTGGACCGATTTTGACGAGACTTGGACGGGAATGTAGCAGATACACGCGACCACATTAAAGATTACCTATTTCTGCGCTGACAAAATTGCAGGCGACTGAGTACTAAATACACACTCCCTCTTGGTGACCATACACATATTTATAGAAACCTAAAATAAAACATGTAGTATCAAAATATATCTCTACTGACCGGCCAGCGAGCAGCTCTCCTTGACGGTGAAGGGCAGACCATACAGCGGCTTGTTTTTGAGCAGTTCCAACTCGCCGCCCCCCCAGCGCGCCTCGTACAGCCTCTGGTCCAGGGTGGTGGCCTCTCTCTTAGCCTCCTCGAACCTCTCTTCCACGACCGCGTTCAAGTAAGGGTTCACTTCTTTGATCCGCTCAATGAATGCACCCACTACTTGCTCACACGTCAGCTATAGAAAAATTACTCTCTGTCAGTGCGATTACCATATTTCTTGGGGAAACTTCCAAACTAGCTAAGTTTTATCGAACAATTCCATGACTTTATTCGCCTGACTCAAAAAGGCAATGTTTTTGCGTGTACATATGTATGCTTTATTAGGTAAGTTCCATCCTGACTCTAAACGTTTGAATTTAAGTTGAAGAGTTAAATGGCATTCTATACTTATTCTTCCCTCGTGTCATAGAACACGGGTAATCAGAAGAGTTTCTGGTCTTAAAAAAAAAACCAGTAATAAACTTCGTTATAATAAACATTTTTATATTCCGCTAGAATTCTCTACAACTATGTCTAAACCAAGTATTGATCCATTGAATCTTTAAAGGTCCATAACTAGGTATAAACTTAGCTATCACCATTTTGATAGATCCCGAAGCTTTTAAATCAAATAGGTTTTCGTTACTCCTATCAGGCTATGAATTGTTATTACGCATAAAATAAAGTGATCATTAAGATGGTCCAAGGCTAAAATATTAGACCATTGTGTCTTTCACATTCCAAATACTAAATAAAAAGATAAACAATATATCAAAAGCAATATATAAATATCTTTATATATATAATTCTTCTGTGCGTGTGTATGTCACTGAACTTCTCTCAAACGACTGCACCGATTTTGATGATTTTTTTGTGTGTATTCAAGGGGATCTGGGAATGGTTTAGATTCACAATTTTGTCCGCTGGACATAGTTTTTTTTAATTAATTTTTAATCTATTAGTAGTTGTTGATTTTGGAATGTTTTACATTGGATCCGACAGACGGCGCTACCATCGCACTGTCAAATTTTAAATAATATTCGAATTAAAGACGTGTAGACAGGACGTTTGTCGGGTCCGCTAGTATGTCATATATATATATATATATATAACCGAAAGCAATCTCTGAATATAAATATGTTTGTTGCACAGAACAAAAGACTTTATCGATGTCTCAAATCAGTTGCATGTGCGATCACACAATACAGTATCATTCTTTCCTACAACCAAATCTAGACATGCAAGTTTTTTAAATATAAATAAATACAATGACAATATGACAATAACTGTAAGATACTATAATATTCTTCTTTCACGATAAATACGTTACAGCTAATGTAATATGCTTGTAACACACTGTTTTCAGATTTTCTATTTATACTTTTAAGAAATTAGCCAGTAAGTATAAGTACTGATGTACTTATGTCATTATAAAAGATACATGCAATAAAATTAACTATAGTTTGAATCTTTCGTAAATCGTAACATATTCTTCTATCATAGAATTCATATTTTCGAGTTGAACGGAACATTTATCGTGTATTTAGTAGAAAAGAAATCGTTACCTGTCCTCTCCTGATAGAATGTGCGAGGTCGGTGGCGCTGCGCAGTAGCAGGGGGTTGCGGGGAGGCGGCAGCCGGGGTACGCGGGGCGCGGGGTAAACATACTCGCGCACCCAGCACGCCGCCGCCCACAGCGCGTTCAACACACGCAGCACCACACCGATCAGCCACACACCTACCTCCATGCTGAACGGCATCAAATAACTTATTATATTATCACGTTACTCAAATATTTCATGTATGTATTATCAAAGGGATGTAACAGCAATTTTCACGATACATTGACTTTGATAAGTCTTTTCAAATGTTGCGACTCAAGGTCATCCTAGCGCTACGCAGTCTCTTCCCACTGCATCCCTTCACGCCTCGCTACACCTAACCCTGTGTTCTGTGTAGCGACTCTTCCTATATTCCGAGCCGCCAAAAAATTTGAAAAATACTATACCAATTACAAAGGAAAAATCTGTATCGCGTAAAGGAATTCATAATGGCGTATTTCATATTTTAACCCTACTAATGAGATAATAGTATTATTTAGATTTTTTCGCAATCAAATATATTGTACCAGCCACATGAAATGAAGAGAGATATTTTACAAGCCAATTTTACAATTCTTCAGGTTGTCTGCACATCTTTAATCAAGTATACTTTCTGTTCACTTGCATTGTGCAAGTCTTGCTGTTGGGTGGCCGCCACACATGTAATGAGCGTGCTCTATACACCTGTTGCATTCATAATGAGGTACAAACAGTCAAATCTTCTTAACCGCGGTTACATAATTCGCGGGCAAAACAATCATAGCCAAATTCCGTATTCGTGCAAAAATAATTAAAAGTATTAAGTTATCCTCGCGATCAGATCTGATCACTTGATACTACGTAAACTCATCCAACAAAGTGTCACTTAGAGAAACATGTTTCCGATGATGTGATGTAAGTACAAAATTCACTTATATTTTTGAACCAAGATTTTGGTTCAGCTCCAACAGCTGTTAGTGTGTTGGGTTTAAATATTTTTATGAACAATAGTCAACAGTTCGGTAAATAAGGATAAAAATAATTAATATATCGATGTGAGAGTTTATTTAGCAACAGTTTGTCGTACACAGCACGTGGCGTGATGCTCCAGTTGGCTGTACACTCGCAAACAAACGTGCATCGCAACTAAATCGATTCTATTTGCATTCAGATTACCAACAAACATGTAAAGGCATTTTAAATAGTACGTTTTAAAATTACAGGTGTCCTTCTTTCTGGGGAGTCCACGAAAATATAAACTGATCATATCTAAAACATACTAAATTGATACTAAATACTATAAGGTTCCAGAGGAAAAATCTGTTAAAACATTTATATTAGGTATCTATATAAATCTATAAAAAGTAAAGACGCGAAATGAACGAGAGGCGCAAAAAAAGATCTACAAATTAGAGCCGAGAATAATCCAAAATACTATAATCTGGAATTCCGTCAAATACTTCGTTTCCTAATAGGGTTCCGTAGTTAAAACGCCGTGTAGACAATGCAAATACGATTACAAGTAAATGTAGCAAACAAAAGTGCTTTGAGTTTACCTTTTAAAATTTGTGGTCCTACTTTTTTATAGCAGAATTATTTATAGGTCTTAAATTGTGAAATGTCGTTATTAACTCATAGTTTCTTCTTACACTCAGTATGTTATAATCTTGTTCGTGAACAAACTTGAGAGTTGTACTCGTCGCAACAAAATCTAATTTACAGTTTTAATATATTTTGCATCTTTGTTATTAAACTACTTAAAAGTTATCTCAAGTTCGTTAAGTTATAACAAGTCGGGCTTAATTACTTCTCGGTTTTATATTTTTACATTAATATACTAATCAGTGATTTTTTGTGCTTTTTTATGGATTAGCTTTAAAATATTTTACATTATTCATGATATTTTGTTTGAAATATAGAACAAATTTCGTACCACAATATTTACAGACTGGTTTGTCTAATTAATTCGAATTAAAACTAATTTGAGACAAGTCTTATTTAGCATAATTTTTATGTCAGAATTTCTTATAGATACTGGCAACCTTCGCTAGTTCACGCTATAGTGATAATTCGAACCATCAATGGCTCTGCAAATAACACAACAAGCGTATCAAGATATCCGTGTTCACACATTTGCGGATAAAAACTTAATGTTAAATTAGGCACAATACCTCATGATTACCGTGTGTATTCACTGCCTACTAAAATAACAGATTAACTAGAGAAACTAACGTATATCACACTTAAGAGTCCGTACACACCGACTGGACGAAGAACAGAGGTTCTTTTCGCAAATAAAATTGAGCTTTATACTATTGAAAAAATGTTATTTTTGAAAGACAATTTGATTTGCGATATTGCTCTCCGCCCCGGCCTGTGTGAACGGACCCTAAAATTACACGCAAAATGTACATTGCTCTAGCGGTGTAATGTGTTTGCTTTAAATGTGCGAAAGTAATAATCAATGTGCGCATTGAATGTCTATTTACGGTATTTAATTTACTATTTGTGAATTAAATACTTAATATGGTAATTGGTAAAACCGTCATAGAATTTCGGAACAACGAAATAAATGAAAAATGTAAGAGTTCTGAAAGCTAACAAAATAATTATATTTAGTTTAGCTACTTAACTTCAATACAATGCTGCATTTAAAACACTGAAAGATATAAAATTGCGTAAGAATTGTTTTAAAATTGAATGACATTATTCTTTACTTATTATTGTCATTATAAAGTTATGGATGAAAATGGAGAGGAAATTGTTCGCCTTCAAAACCTCCAAACTCTAATGAAATTGTGTCGCGTAGCGTATTTCATTATATTCGTAGGAACTTCGAAAAAGTATTTTATTTGTTGAAAAAATGTTATTTAAATTGCATTTCACAGGTTGTACTCCCAATTAAAATTTCCCTAACATGATAGAGTTTTCACAAAAACATGTAATATCCACCACTTTACGATTTATTTTACAAACGATAGTGAAAAACAATTTTTTCAGGCAAGAAAAATTATGTAAAATTCAATTAAACTTACATAATATATTGTTTTACTTTAAAACTTCACCAAATCACAAATATAACAAACAACGACAAATGAAAAGCTCTGCCAAGTTACGGGACATGCTCCTCTTGCGATCGCACGACGTAAACTGAATTAAGTTTCAGACTTACAGTCTGAGCTGTGCTGTACTCACATGTAATTGATAAATGGAAACTCATCAATAAGCTTGAAAGCAATTTTCCGCAATACCTTAGGTACCACAAGCGAAGCGTCAGTAAACATACATAGAAGGATAAAGGTTAATTAGTTAGTCAGTAAAACAAAATATTGTAAAAAAATTCCAACAAAAAAAAACTTTAATTATGAACGACCAGTAAAATGGCCGATATTTCGAACATATTTGTGAGGGAAAAAGATGCAATAATTGTGTAATTATTTAGCATTTGAATCACGTGATCTTATAAATATCATTAGAAAGAAAAGAGATCTTATGCATTCTTAGAGCAGAAGGCTCCACAAATATTTTCATAAACGTCGGAACATTCATTTGAAAATAGTTTGTCGGGATAACAAAAATTCCATTCGAGTCGAGCCGTGCAGCTTCGGAAACCTGGGATGGGGAAGGAATGAGTAGTGGGTGTTGTGCGAGGTCGTCTCGGCTGTTAGCCCGTAACTTTATATTTACGATATTCAATTGCATTTAATATCATATGTGTAATTACATATACTCTGTATTACTCCAAAAATACAATTCGACACTGTTTAATTAAATATGTATGTTTGACCCTTTGACCGCCGGTGATTCATATGGATATTGACGTAATATAAAACACAGTTGTAAAATATATTTTATGTATATATAAAAGTTAAATATTAGTTAAATGTAAAAGATATAGCATATAGGTCGGTACATGTGAAGTTAATATAATTATCGATAAAAGCTGGGGTACGGGCGCGGCTGACGGCCGCTGTGATGGAAATGCAATTTGTTGGAGCACCACTATACGTCACACGAATGTTCTGTGGTTTAAGCCGGGCACACACTGAAGTTTTTACCGCGTGAAAAGCTTTAATAAAATAAATTCTACATGCACTATGAATGTTATGTTACAAAATTATCAACAGTGATTTTTAAATAAAAGATTTAATTTCAGTTCCAATGATTTTGTCTCTACATATTATAATTAAAACCTGTTTAGTTTTTCTTGCGGCGAAAAGTTGTGTGTACGGACCTTAATGTTTCACTACGCAAACATTATTATGGTTTCCCATTTGCGACACATTTTTCAATTGAAATTCGCAAATTGAAGAAACGTACAGGCAATCAGAATCAAAATTCAATTGCGACAACCAACAACATATTGCAAATCTTTATAAAGATGAAAGAGACATAATATGACATTGTTAATGAATTTAAATAATGAAGCTACTTTAAGATTTATATTTTTACTATTTTCGTGAGTTGCGACGGTGGCTCAGGGGTCAAGCACTTGACTTGCATTCTGCAGGTCCTGGGTTCTAATCCCGCCATGTACCAATGTGTTTTTCGATTTTCGATTTACATATGAACATTTATCCGACGTTCTTGCATATTGCATTGTCTCTTAACAACTTTTAACCTTCAAGCATTTTTATTATTTAACAAGATCTTACAGGAGATTAAGCGCTTTAGTTAATCTTATAAAGGAACTTTTCACATTTAATAGTTTTTACTGTCTTTGTCTAAAAACAATTTATTTAATAGCTTGTATTATGTTTATATGATATAATCATTTATTTACATTTATTTTATAATACAAATGACATGCAAACGTCATATTCCGTACACGCTGGCCATAATATTATTTCATATTTAGAATGTAATTGTTGTTAATTAAAAAGAAATTATCATCAAACTAAAAATGTGATTTACAAGATTAAAAAATAAAAACTCATTAAAATAATATTAAACTAAAATAAAAATCAAACTTACAATAACAAACAGTCTGTGGCGGCCCATATTGCTAACTACACGCATAACCTGCTGAATGAAAACAAATTGGGGATTAAAACATAAAAAATATAATAAAATAATTGCAAAACCGTGAAAAGGATCCTTTTTTTCACAAAAAATTAAATAAACAAAAACAATCAAACTGAGATTTTATGTTAAAAGTCAGTACACACAAAATACATGGATTATTTCTAGGAAAAACTTCCATAATTTAGTAATAGATAATAAAATGTATTTTTCAACAGTGGTAGAGACCTCTTTAACATCTTCACAAGAATTGGCCGGTGCGACCGATGCAATACCACAACCTCAGGTGTCAAGAGGAAGCAATTCCGCATTTATTCTTAAGAGTGTGGTACCTGAGGCCTAATGATAGTCCCCTTTCCCTTCCCACCCTTTTCTTATAAGCATGGCTACCACACTTTCTATCAGACAATTCCTTGTTGTTCTTAATTACCAACAAAGCAGAAAATTCTTGTTACATAAATAAGTTGTTGAGAAAACCATAAAATAGTACAAGATAATTAAAATTAAAATCATTCGCAGACTATATTTTTGCTATTATAGACCACTTGACCATTTGGGAACCATTGGTTTAACATTATTGTTTTATATGGAAAGTACGAAAGTAAGATATCTAAACAATAATGAAAAGAATGATTTTACGACAAAAATAAAACAGGTTTCACTTTCTTTAATAATATTAACGCATGGCTCATCATATAAAGTTTTGCTTTTAACAGAGATAACTATTCGTTGATCGTTTCAATTGTGAATAAAAATTCTTACCTTAATTATGACGCTCGCACCGCAAAACCTGCAAAACACGTAAATAACTCATAATATTGAACATAATAATATTGTAATTCGCAGTCATTTACTAAAGGACATTCGCGGAGCAATCTTAATTTTTAATTGCAAATCATGGTAGGAAAAATAATTATCTATGGGTACTTACGTTTTATTAAAATGTTAATAGCTTAACAAATGCTCCTTGCTCTTATTGTATCATATTTCTCTATTTATTTCACATAGGCATATGTATTTCGCGATATTAAATTCAAAACAAAAAGATTGGAAAATTTTTGACAATTGACATTCGATTTATTAAGCAGGTCACAGATAACGTACAGACAAAACACCAATCAATAATGCTATTTCTGGGAAAGTTAGGAATAAGGCATTACAATTTTTTTTGAAAAATTAATATTACTGACAAATTTATAAGAAAACACTATATGAAAGAAATTTAGCCGTATGTGTTATCACTAAATTTAGTTGGTTGAGCAAGATGTCACCGTCAGATCAGAAACAAATGTTTTTTTTGTGTCACTGTGTGCCATGAAGAGGCATTTACAGCTTCAACGGGCTGAGTTTGCCGAGCTCATATGGTGCTAAGCCACGTTTAGAAGTAACGGCTCGGGAGCTCCCTCTGGAGCCTCGGATCGAGCTGTTACTTCTTCATTTATATACTCTTTGGTAGTCATGGGGAACCAACGACCTCTCTAAATGGACTGGCTTTCTAGGAGTGATATTTTGTGCCTATTTAATTTTCGCCATTTTGGCGGTGTTGGTAACGATTTGTAGCGGTGGTGTGTATTGGAACTAATAATAGAATTAACTGTGATGTAAAATCATTGCATTGGAAAGAAGCGAAACCTTTCATTTTAAAGCAAGCGCCTATCCATTTATAGAAATCTGTATTTACAAAGAAAATGCTTATCAACATGTAAATGTGGTCTAATTTCTTTTAATTATAAAGTAATAACTAACTAGTAGTTTGTTTCTATGTGTATCTGTAGGGATTTTAAGCATTTTAATATATTTATGTTACATTTTTCGGATTCCTGGGGGAGCAGGCTTGGTAATGCCAATGGCGTGTAATCTTATTTTTTTGGAAGTAAAAAAAAAACACCAGAATTGTGTGAAACGTTTTATTTGCAGTTGTAAAAACTGTACAAATCCTAACAAACTTACAAATTAACATCTATTATGGACCTTCGCATGGCACTGTCGATGTCAACGTGAGCCATAACACTCAATACTGCCACTGTTCTCGTACATACTTCACTTCATGTTACAACGTCACTCGACTCTTCATATTGATGTGTAAATTCTTTACTAATTCTGTGATAATAGTAAAATCTTCTCTCAAAAGTAATCTAAGATAACATGAGTTTATATAATGCTAAGCATGGTATAAGTAGACAGTTTTACATTAGAAATTTTATTTCCTTTTTTTATTACAAAAACAGTGTCGTTGAAAAATAATTGTGAAAACGTTTAAGCACCGTTTTTGTTGGCAGTTCAGCATTTACCACCTTTTTTCTTTGCATTTCCTACTAATTGTGGCATTTAATTTTAACGGTACGTTAACATACCGCTATATAGCTCTGCTATAACGTATAGCGGTTTAAAAAACGGTTATAAGAAAATATTGATATGGTTATTGAAAGTTTTTTTTTTTAATATTCTGTTAGTTCACTGTGACAGTTAGAACAAATTTAAAATTAACAATATGTCTACTTAGTTTACATGATATATTCGATTATGTTATGTATTAACAATTAGCTCAACAAAATGGATTAAAATTGATTTTATATACAATAAAATAAAATAAAACTAAATTGTATGAGGTTTGTAATTTTGATATTTCAATAATAAACAATTCAAATGCAATGACATCTGCTAAAACTATACCAGAAATTAAAAAAAAGAAATTACTTAAAATTTTTAATTAAAATAGGTAATTTAAATAAATACTGGAATTTGTGCAGTGGAATTTCTTATTTTATTTAAGCAATATATTTTTATTTAATAATAATATGAATACAAAGAAGAAAATAAAGTGAAATATATAAATAGGAATGAGAAAAGATAAAAATGCTTAATCTTTGGCATGATTAGTTGAAAAGTGAAATTACAACTAACTGTTAGGATAAAACTATTCATTTTATCATGTAATTATTTAATAAATATAAATAAAAATCAGTGTTTATAGTTTTATTGTTTATGAATTTTTAAACAATTCGACTGTTGGAACTTTGGTAGTGTGTTCTTCAAACGTCAATGGTTTGTGTCGCAAAAAACTTTTAGTGTAATTAATGTCTGTGTATAGTTTTAGCAGTCATTGATTCTTATGATGGTAATATTTAAAATTGAAGTCAATCATACACGACTATTTTTTCCTAAATTCATTACAAGATAAATTTAATTATGTCATAGATATATAACATATAGATAACTAATCCGGAGCAGAAAAGTGGCGCGAACAAAATGTCCGGACGCCTTTTTTTGGTGATTAATTTCTTCAGTGTTTTTACAAATACAAGTCGATGTATATGTTATATATATATGAATGACACATATCAAAATGTTACATATAAAATATATTCCAAGAATTGTTCGTCAAATGTTTAATATTAAAATTAAGGACACTTCCCGTTTACATTATTTAATAAATATAAATACTGAGCAATGTTTTTATTTTATTTTAATTTTTTAAATTCGAATAAACATTAAAAATCTCTCAGTAAAAGTTTCAAAACGAATACAATAAAATACACACGCAATAAAAAAATCCCAAGAAAAAAAAAATAAGCATGCTTTCTTTGATCACAAGAAAATAAAAGTGTAAAGGCAATTCCAAAGTGATATAGATGTACCTACACCGTACTCCGAACTCCGAACTCCGTACTGACTAAAACGTGTTTCTAAAAATATACTTTATTTACAAAATCGTTACAAACCTTTACGAAATAAAAAATATTGAGTTAAATAAAGTAAAGGGGTAAGTCGTTAATACATTCGTTGTGGTACAACACGTAATAAATAGTTATATAGATCTCTAATAACGCTCAACAACTAAACACTAAAACTTATAAACAAATAACGAAGTGTTAGTGTCAGTGTGATCATGACGATGTTTCTGCGGGAGAAAGAAAACACGTAACACTTCGCGCGTCGGCGGACCGATGCCTTCCCTCCGCGCCTCAGATCGGCCGCGTGAAGTTCGCCGGGAACATGCCCTTCTCATTGGTCGACTCCTTTATACCCATCAGCCATCCCTCCTCCTGCAAACATTACGTACCACCTGCACGACCTTACACACAACACATTGCTAGCAACTTAACAGTGAGACCATCCGACAGGATACCTGTTCGTCGGGGTCGTCGTACTCCACGACGCGGATGACGTCGCCGACGTCGAAGGAGAGCTCGTCGCTGTCCTCGCGCGTGTAGCGGTACGTCGCGCGCACGCGGTACAGCGTGCCCGCCGGCAGACCCGCCAGCGTCGCTCCTGACACCACACACACACACACACACAATCAATCTTTGATAATACTTGCCAATCTTTGACAACAATTGGCAATCTTTGACAACAGTTGGCAATCTTTGACAACAGTTGGCAATCTTTGTCAACAGTTGGCAATCTTTGACAATGGTGGCAATCTTTGACAATGGATGGCAACCGACAAATACATCGGTCCCATTAGTCATAAAAAAATTAGAAAGAGAGTAATAATAATAGAATATCAGGGTAGACATGGCGACGCTGTCGCTTCTGTTAAAGACAGGAACAGAGATAACAAGAGATAGCTGACAACAAGAAATAACGGTGGACATTACTCAACCAACAGTTCTAGTATTCAGAAGTAAAAAAATATTATTATCAAAATCATCTAACATCAAAATATACAATGTTTCTCCATTAAGATCTTTTGAATCTATTTGAAATAATAATTTAAATGTTTATTACGATTACAAACAACATAGAAAACAAACATGCAATAACTACAGTAAACTGACTCGAGCACAACAATATATTATTTAATTAGAAGAAGCAGAGTCAAGGACAAGCACTAAAACATATACATAGAATAAATAACCCCGCCCTGAAAATAGATATATAAATACATAAACATATACACATAAAGTAATATAAATACTTGACATATAAAACATACTGCAACTGCACATTGATTAAAATAGTTAGAAATTATAAAATGTAACATTACGTTATTTAATATATTAGGTGCGCAACTAAGTTCTCCTGTATATCAGTAGATGGCTCTAGCAGTAAGAGCTGGTCGATTTTGACATATCCATTTTTTAATAATAAAGTTATATTTTTATCGAAAAAAAAAGCGAGAACTTAGTTGCGCACCTAATAGTTCGGTATATACTTTCTTTATATGAAATATAACAAATTTTATCTTCAAAAGATTACTTTATAATACTCAAGATTATTTATCTGTACATACTTTATAAACTCAAATCAAATACAACTAATTTATCAATGATAATAATTCACAAAGCTCTTTCTTTTTTTATTAACAAAATATAAATTTATGAACTTATTTCACTGTATTCAAAAACAACACATTTAACGATATAATGACAAACCCACTTTAATCAAATTTTAACTTCGACTTTTTAAATGTCCAAAAAAAACTAGATATTTTTTTGTTTCAAATGAATTCAGATTTTTTGGAATTGTATTTGATTAGTAAATAAATATTAATATAAAGAAAATGAGCAGCGTGTGACGTCACTCACCCACTGGTATATCGTAAACCTCGTCGCTCTTGTTCTCATTGTTCTGATTCTCTACATCTTTCTTCTCCTTCTGTTTCTCTTCTATCTCATTCTCTTTCTCACTCTCCTTCTCAACGCTGGAGTCCTTCCCGTCGACGTTATTATTGACATTCTCGTTGGCCGGCGCTCCTGAGGATTGTGCAATCGATTGCCTACATCTACACCCAATGTTCTAGCACTCTACCATTTATTTAGGTCTAGACTAAACATTAGAGCATTGTTAATACATTATATTAAAAGAAAACCATGCATCTAATTGTACTATGTAAATTTATATGAACAACAAAATATATGAATATTTTTTTAATACAATGATAATTATTTAAAATAAATCAGAGTTTGAACAAAATCGCAATATTAATAAGTAATATAATAATATATAAATATTTTTGTAAATAACATGACATAAATATACATTTGCGGCAAACGTTCTTTTTATAATATGTAATGGATATGTAGGCAAACGAAAACTTGCAGCAATATGTACTGTACTTTTTATTTGAAATGCGTTGTCATACCGGGAGCAGTGTAGCGATGTCTCACCAACAATGGTGGCGCGGCGCAGTGCGCAGTGCACAGTGCGCAGTACTCACCCACAGGAACGTCGCTGAGCTGCGGCTTGCTGCCCTCCTCCGCCGCGTTGTTGTTGGCCGTGTGCGGCGCGGGGGGCGTGTCCGGTGGGGTGGTGCCCGGCGAGGGCGGGGGCGTGGCCAGGCGAGGCGGGGACGTGTCCCGGCGAGGCGGGGGCGTGACGGGCGCTGGGCTGGCGCTGCCGTTGAGCGCGGGGGAGGCGGGCGCGGGGGAGGGCGCTATGCACACACACACACACGACACTCACACACATGCCGATATGCACACAATGTTATTGTTTTAAGACACGCAGCACTTTGCGCACCATCCTTGTGTGAAAACAATTCATTGTTTTAAGTGAAATATTTTCAGCTTTTTGTGTAATGTAATAAATTCACAAGGATGCAGTGCTAATAGTTAAATTGCCAAATCATTTCTAGCAAAAATAACGTACTCTTTAAAGATACATTGCAACATTATGGACTTAAGAAACGAGTACGAATTTTAAACAAGATTTGACAACTTATAATATTAAATTTAATATTTTCTATCTCTTTATGCGAAGAGAAATGTTATATATAGTTAATTCAATGTTTACCGATTAATGTAATGTCGGGAAATCTTTAAATACCTATGAAATTTAATTCTAAAGAAAATCAATACAATGCAAATCTTGGTAGTAACAATTAGTAATTTTATATAAAATAAACAGTAAAGCGAACATCACATTCTGTTGTAGTAAAACTCGATCGATGGCGGAAACTATAGTCTGACGGGAAACATGTACAAAAATGTAAAAGTACTCGAATTTTTAACATCCGACTCGAAGGATCAAAATGCGCTATCCCGTTAATTGTAATTTAGTCATGTTGAGTGCAGAGAATAGAGTTTCCACCAGGAGAGAGTGTGTGGGGAGTGTGTGTACTCACTCTGCACGTTGTTGTGGTTGGCGCCGTTGTGCGCGAGGGTGAGGGCGAGGGGGGCGGGTGTGGGGGCGGGCGGGGCGCGGGGCAGGGAGGCGGTCTTCTTGGTGTAGGAGTTGCGCTGGCAGTCCGTCGCCAGCTTGTCCGTGATCGCCTCCAGCTCCGCGTACACCTGACACACACAATTACAACTAGATCACAAGGATCGAAACTAGTCCTCTTCTCATTGGCTCATCTATTTCATCCTATCGGTTGATATTTCTACGAGACTTGTGCCGTTTAACCGTTTTTAACTTAACTTAAGATTACGTGATTTTAGATTTGATCTGAGCTGAGGCACGTTACCTTGGAGGTTTCGGAGTGGAAGAGCTGCTCGGCGGCGAAGAGCGTCTGCAGGTTGGTGACGTAGAAGAGGACGCGGGAGTCGTGCAGCGCGGGCAGCTCATCGTGCAGCTCCGAGTTCAGCAACTCGTACGTGCGCTTCGCCTCCTCCAGCTGCTCGCGACCCTTCGTCACCTACACACCGCACACTTACACTCGGGGACTTTTGTTTTCTATCCATTGGTAAAATGTCATTCCACTCTCACAATATAAATATACGGAACTTATAATTGTTGTAAAATTGCATGGAATACTCATGATATAATATTGTACGCTCTCGCGACTAGAATAAAACAGACGGTCAGATTTGAGAGAGCACACAAATCACAAGAAACATTCCGGCCCACACGTCGCGCACTAAAATACCGCGAGAATACAGGCTATTGCACACATTGCGATATTATTTCATTTTCTTTTTTATGATGTTGGTCAGGGACTATTGTCTAGTTTTAAATTGTCTAAAAAAATATAACATTATTCTAGTTTTAGATTTTTTCTTTAGATGATTTTTTAAGTCCTGTTTTTCGATATACATTTTTAACTGGAGTTCAACGATATATGAGCATACCTTGACATCATCCCGTCTCTTGGCGGCGTTGGCCTGCAGGTTCTGGAAGCTGTGTCGCTGTCCGTCGTAGTCCACCAGCTTGCGACCGCGTTTCTCGATCTTTTTCTGAAAAAAACAAATTACAAACATGTTACGTTCAAAATTAAAATGCACAGGTTTGGTTTAATATCAAAACTTCGTATTTTTATGACCGTTAATTTACTACTGCTGTCAACCGCGACTTAATCCGCGTTAAATTAAAAAAAAATAGCCAATTTGCTCTTCCAGACTTACATTTTCTCCTAACCATTCATCAATATTAGTAAACATTGTTCGTAAAAGACTCACCCTGACTTCCGGGAATTGGTTGGTGTAGGTGTTGAGAGGTATGAGGACCTGGTCTCCGAGCTTGTGCGAGAAGTCCTGCCACAGCATCTCCATGCTCTGCGCCTGCACGTACAGCAGATCATGCCCCGACCAGCTGCTCTCGTACACCTCCGTGATAGCCTCCATCAGGCTTTTTGACGCCGTTTGTACCGCTAACACGAGTTACAACTCACTTTATTGAACATTTACGAAGAAGCTTTTTCTGGTGTTACATGGTTGGCCGCTTTATATCCATGGAATGGTTATATAATTACGACCGAGTGAGTCTTGGCCTCACCTTCTTCTGGAGTCTTCACTCCTAAGTTAGGGTAGGCTCCGAGCCCCTCTGTGAGGACGTATAGTGAGACGATGGGTCTTGACAACCAATCTTACTTAATATATTTTTGGTATGATTATTTTATTCAACATTTTTGACATGTGAAGATCAGTCGGCTGTGTTTACGAAAGAATGTTACATAGCTCTACGCAGTGGACACGACATTGAAGGCCACATTCTTAGCATTTTATAACTGCACAGTTCAGTACAATAATTTTACAAGATAAATTATAAAATAATTTTTGCTTTACAGTGCTATCTCTATTTAGACATTTTTCAAACAGATTTTCATTGTTTGAAACTTGTTGAAAGAATTGGACCGATGTTAGAATTTTGTTTACATTTTTACAGTGACATTTCTGTATGATTCATCTCGTATGTCCGAGAAACGATGGTTTTATCACAAGATAATGTCGATATCATGCGACATTCATCTCGTACATTTTCAATAAACTGATAGGAAAGATTTTCGCTAAAAGTTTTAGATGACTTATTTGAAATAAATATCATAATTTTAATGTAATTACGTGTAGAAGTAAAAATAATTGGGTTTGTTTGAGATTTTTCGTATCTGGAGGATGGGACAATCCTTCTAAGGAATCTTTTTTTATAAGAGTAGGAAAGGAAGAAGATTAAAATTAAGCCTACAATTGCATTTTGTGTGTTTACCTCGTATACATCGTATGTAGTTATTGAACTCCTTCTGTAGCCGCGTGGCCTGCTGATGCTGCCGGTTGAAGTTCTGCAGGTGCTCCTCGAAGATGTCGTCCAGCGTACGATCCACCTTGCCCAGGTTCTGGAGCAACTGGAATACCATAACGATATACAATTAATTTACTTGTACTTCTATTTATGTTACGTTGATATATTTCCTTCTAATTGATTAATGGCGGATGCCTTAGGCGGATTCTTTTTGATGTGTTATATGTCCCTGAATTTTTTTTTAGATCGATGTTGTTAATCCAAATGGAAATCAATAAATACAGAAACATGTTTATTATGTTACAACAACCTTGTTTTTTATTGTAGTTTTACGATTTTTGTAAAGATAACATACGTGTGTGTGGGGGGTGGGGATAAAATTGTGAAGTTATTGCGAGTGTAGTGTTGTCTTACAACTGTATGTAACAGCTTCAAATTGCAACTAATGCGACACTCACGCGCATCGCCGTCGTCCTCGGCTGTTATGTAACTCATCGTGACTGCGAACACAATACATAAGGACGAGAACGATCCGATATACATATGTAAAGTAATTTTAAAATAACACTACATAAAGACAGAAAAATACGGAGAAAATTAGCTCAAAGAAACCGAATAAATTACCTACTACTATAATAATTTAGCAATCAATTTTAAAAGCTTAATAAAAATAATACAGAAGTTATAGTTTTGTAAATTAACAAGTTTGTATTCATTATGTGCGAATCAATCATATGACGCCTCCAGTACAATTGCTATGATGAAACAAGTTTACACTGTTAGGGATGATACTTTATTATGTTTTTGGTAGATAACGGTAGGATTTTTAAATTTTTGAAACTATTTTTTTTAATTATGGACTTCAGAGACGGAAATCACGGTATAGAACATGTCGTCATCCCTATTATTATCTTTGACGAAAAAGAGATTACATGTTTTAAACGAGAATGCAGGGCTCAGAAGCCTAAGTTAAATAATATTTGATTTTGTTCAATAGTAAAGGTGAGCATTAAGTAACAGATATCTAAAGCTATTTTTAGTTCCTCTGCCAACCATAACCTCTTCAATTTTAGTGTGTTCACATTATTCCAAAATATTAAAATACATACATAGGTTTTGTATGTGGCAACCCTATTGAAATGACAGAATTAACATACAAGTGAGGAGTTACGAAAGTTGATATACTGGCTGAAACATTAGAAGGCTGTGCGGGGCGGAGGCGCGGCGAGGGGGGGGGTATTTAACTTGTGCAAACCACTGCTACCTAAGTTACAAGTATTACTTAACGCAAAGGGCTGTCATAATATTAACACATGCAATAACAACTTCAGGTATTCTTTCAAACACAGTGTATATTGTTTTAAAAAATCGTAAAAAAAAAATAGCTAAAAGCGAAAATAAACATTTGATTTTTATTGGGTAATATAAAGGTATATAAATAGAAAGATTTACAAAATAAATTCTGTACACATCGTTAATCGCAACCTGCTGACTGAATATTTGTTCAGCAGCTGAACATTAGTATTGTACAGCGACGAAATAATGACGTCATATGTTAACATTTTCGTATCTGTCAAGTTTTACACAACTTCAGTAATAATGAGTCCAATAATATTTACATCTGTTAAAAGTCAAGTGATAATACTGCAATAGTTAGCATACAATGCGATGTCGACACAAGGTCGCCGATCAACAGATAGATACAAAACCTTCAATGGATCTCGAACCCGTTCTGCTTACGACTGGCTTAGGAATGTTCTGCAGACTGTCGCTGTGGCTCTAACAAATTCTAAAATGTTTCGTTCATCCAATTACAACTCTACTTGCCCACAAATATTAAATTACAAGTTAAACACCGAAAATTACCAAGCATCGTTTTGGTATGGATCCATGTAATCTTCGTAATAACATTATGTCACGCACAACACGTCAACGTTAACGCGGCGTCCGCTAGTGACGTCACGTCCGCGCGCGCTTCCTTTCCATTTCGATTGTCTTTGACCGAGGCCTCCAATTACAACCATTGTCTCGGCTAATAAATATACAGTTTGCAATTGATCCTCGTGTACGACCTTATCTGGATGTAATTAAAGTTGGCAATAGATTGCAGCAGCCGTGTCGCAGGTTGAAGCGTGACAATTGTTTAACGTGATTAGGTTATCGGCGTGACGATCGGCGATCGCGTATCGGTCAACTGGCTGCAGGGGTGAGATGATAACGACTTTATTGACCGTAAACAATGAGCAATTAGACATTTGATAACAAACATTAAAATATCGGATAATAAATTAATGATTTAAGTTGATGAGTACTTTAATTTCAAGTCTCGTTTTAATCATAGTAGCATCAGAGTACCGTGCAAATTTTGTTGCGGAAACTATAACTTTGTAGCATTTTTTAAAAATAATATTTGAGGTAACATTCATAATTATTAAATTCTTAAAATCGCCAGCAACCGGAGTGCAGCGGAAACAATTATTTAGTTAAAAATGAAACAAGATGATGTAAATAAATGAGAAATAAATTGCTTACACGATAGATGAGTGTTTTCCGCAGACCTTGTGGAAATATCTCTTGTTTACAAAACTATCATGAATTTACAATGAAATTTATTGTATAATTGACATCATTGATTATTAGTTATTACGTTGTCGGATCATACAAAGAAAACATAATTTGGGTAACGAGTGACCTTAGTTTATTTCCGTTTGGAACAGGAAGTTGTAATGATTGAAAATCTGGACGAACATGCGATGATAAGGTATTATTAATTTCTAGTATTATCTGTAGTTTTATTTGATCATGTAATCCATAAAGTTAGATGATATGGAATAAATTCACAATGATAGAATAAAATGCTTGCCTTAACATTGATAGCCAAACCAAAAACCTACTTCTAAACCCTAAAACAATAACTGCACAATAATAAAGGAGTAAATGCTTTATTAATACACTGGCCATAAGATTTTATTTAGTTTTCCAGTATTCCAGTGCACGTTGCACTCGCACGGCGAGCCATGTGGGGCTCTATAAATAGCGCCGCGCTTACCAGTTACCCGACGATATAAGTTGTAAAAAAATGCCCAACTCTGATAGAGATAATTTAGCTCATATTCTAAAGAATGAATGACAACTCACTCTTCGAAATGAATCAAACTCAAGTTGTTTAGCCTACAAGAGATCATAAAGAAAAAGGGCTCGCTACAACCAAGTAAAGAAAATACCGTTTGTAAAATTAGGTTTCCCTTTCCCTTTTCAAAATAATTTTCCAAACATAAAGTAGTTACGTAACACAATGATTTGTAATGGAATATCTTTGAATAAAACGATCATTTCGTTTCCTCAATAAATGGTATAACAAGAGACATTGCACGCGAACCTATCACTCTGTATTACACCGTTACAACTTTCCCACGTCTTTGTAACGCAGTTTGTGATCGAACACAAAAGTTAAACGGTGTTACGCAATGCCACAGTAATTAATACGGAAGTAAGATACTTCCAGCAAATGCTGAGTCTCCAATCTCAAATAAACATTGAAACAGAGATGTACAGGGGATAGAAAAGACATGACGAGAGAACAGAAAAATTTATATACTCGTATCAATTTACTAGTATACCTATATTTACTAATACCCTTTGTACTTGTACTGTTGTAAATGACAATTGGTGTTTGAAGCGTTGTTTTTCAAACACAAGCAATGGTTTACTAATTTCCGAAGCAACAAATGAGAGGGTTGAAGATCCGCAAAACGTAATCAAGTGGGTCATCAGACGGCGGGACAGTTTGGATGACTTCCAATAGCATCGCAGGAAATAGAAGTGACCGATACAATCTTTGACGAACATTAACTAATACAACCACAGTTAGTTTCTACAAAACTACATGACATTTTATTTTCCTTATGAACTTACAGGAAAATAATACAATTTCGTCACAATATTACTTCGTTAGTGATATTTATCTCAATTTATTTAATATTATTATTCAGTGCACATAATTCTATAGATCTTAATTTTTTTTTTGCGACAATTTTGTAAAAAAACGTATTTTTCCATGCAAGTTACCTATTTCACCTTGGGGAAATACCTTTTTCTATAGATTTATAACCTTCAGCTTTACCTTGTGTTTGTTCTGCATTTGTAACTAAAACATGATTCTTAAATTACAATACTTAAATTTTCCTTAGAAAATCTTGAATTTTATACTCAACAAATAAATCAAAAAATAAATCTTAAATTGTCCGTAATTTTATTATAATCAGTAGAACTCAGATGTTGTATTTAGTTAACTAGAAAATACTGAGAATATATCGACATATTAGTACAATATTAGAAGCACATCTCTAAGTGATAAAACTGCACGTAATATCCAAAGGTCAAGCCGATATCGCAACGCTCCGAGGAACCAAGTAATTGTCATTTTCCAGCAGACAACAAACAACAATCATGCAATAAAAGCATCGCACAATGCGACACGTGACTCTTCCAGTTAACAGTGGATTTCCACTGTCGAAACACGAGGACAAAAATATATTGACATCCCTCTTATACTTGTTGAAAAAAAAAGAAGCTGAAAATGTTCCACGAATAAAAACTCGCAATAAGAAAGTATACAGAACATAATTTATTAGCCTCTTTCGTTGAAAAATATTGATAATGATTAACTTATATATTTAGAACAGAACATCTAGTAGTAACCATTGTATCTCAAATTTAAAGTCTCAATCTTATCTTTGTTATCTAAAGAATTTATCAAATCCTTTCTTTTGTTAGGTTAAACAATAGTTTATCATGTTTTTTCTGATATTTCATACACTGTGCCTGCTTACATTACAATTGAGGTAGACGATTCTTAAATATAAAATAGATATTATATATTCCATTTGATTTCAAAAAATATAAATTCTACTTAATCCAAATGTCTTTAATGCATTTCAAATAAAAAAAATATTGGCTTTACGTATATTTAGTAACTCCCAGACGTTAGTGACATCATCTATAAAAAAAATTAGAACCAGAATCCATTACACGATATGTTTATTTCTGACTGTTTATTTTAAGACCGATCCCCGAGCGACGTTGCCTCAATTTTTCGCACCA